ACCAGAAAGTCCAGTTGCCTCTTGAAAAAGCACCTTTGGGACAATGATGAGGATGACTGAGAATCTCCATAGACAAAAACTCTGCAGCCTCCTTTTCTATGCCAATAATTATCTCCATCAAAACCCAAAATGATTGATTATATCTAATGTTTTCTTCTGCCATTAGGAACAATTCTCGACAAGAGTTCTTTTAATTACATCTCAGAAAATGGGAGGTTAGACAGGAGGTATCCTACAGAACCACCTCTTAACCTCCCCTATCAGTTGGATAGCAATTGTTTCCCTACTGTTTCCCTCTACGGCTCTCAGAGGGCTGATTTAGCAACTCAGTGACTGGGATTTTTAAAAAAATTCTGATGTCTTTGTTCCCTTTCCCAAAGGACGTACAGTGTACTTTTGACAAGCTACTCAGCTCTTCCGGGTATTATTTCACAACTGACACTTTCCAAATCTATTTAAAATTCTGACTGAGTCATATAAACATATTATCTTGCAACTTAATTTATTCTCATCCCTGCACTAGAAGTAACTGTAAGCAAGGGGTTCATTCTGAATTTTTCTTCTCCCATTTAAGTTCCCTCTTAAACCTTGATAAGGGCACATAGATTTTTAAAACCCCAGACAGGACAGATGATAAATAAGCAGCTACTAGTTTTACTGCCAAATAAATCACAGTTTTTACTATTTATCCAATATGATTTTGGTAGGGTGCTTAAATTACTTTAAGAGATACCCCTTCATACTGATTTCTTTTTAATTTATCTACCTGTCTCACTTTAAGAATTTTATGCTAAAAACCAAAGAAGGATCAGTTAAGTGAGATAAAAATATTTCTGTTTGTGTAAGGCGGACATGGAAATGGGAACCCTTCTACCTTAGACTGTCTACTATTGACCTCACCCCTTTCCTAAGAGGTCTGTAGGGGGCGTGCATAAGCGCACCAACGTGCCTACCGTCCCTGTCCTATTGTTTCTCTTATTTTATTTTTCTTATATATACCCATTTCATATATTCACAACTATGTATACACTTGTACTTATTATCTTGTAAACAATTGACAAATCAAATAAATAAATAAATAAATAAATAAATTTAATTGAATGAAATAGGACACCACATTTTTGAGAATACAAGCTGACACTTACCTATTTTATTGTTGCATTTTGTGTTGTCTAACAATTAAAAAAGCAATAGTGAATTGCCTTAATAGATTTGTCAAGGCTGTATATATTGGTTTTATTTTTCATCTTGTTTTTGTTAAGTTTTTATAATTTTTTATACATAGATACCTAAATTTATTCTTATTTCAAACAATTGCAGAAAACAAGGCCCATGGTTTCCTTCTTACTTTACTTTTATTAAAACGCATAGGAATTATTATAAATGATGTATGTAAGCATATCACTTTCATGATAGAACCATGCCAGAGAGCAAATAATGATTTCTATTTATAGACATTGGGGGCAAATGATAATACAAACTCAGTCTATTTTACATGTGCATTAAAACATTGGGCATCTACAAGCCCACTTGGAGTTTGCAAAAAAGCACCTGGAAGACTGTGAGGAACAAACTCCAAGCAGGCTTTCATATGTTTTGCATTAAGGAGAGGCTTCTAACCATGGGTGGGATTCTACTAGTTCGCACCTATTCGCTAGAACTGGTTGTTAACATTCTAAGCAGTTCAGAGAACCGGTTGTTAGAAGAAATTACTGGCCTAATCCTGTAAGGAAGGCAGGAAGGAAACATTCTGGTGTTGCTTAGAGCAACTGCCTCTCTGTTAACCCTTATTACATTCTTGGCAGGACTAGACTTCCTGTCTCAGGAACGTCTCTGGAGTTTGTTTCCCCTCCTTTGCTGGTACTTTGCTTGTGTGGAGTGACCATTTAAAGTTACAATGGCACTGAAAAAAGTGACTTATGACCATTTTTCACACTTACGACTGTTGCAGCATCCCCACCCACAGTCATGAAAGGCCAGGCGAGGAAATGCATGCCTCGATGTGAGTGATATTGAGTTGGCCACACCCAGCCAATAACATGACCACCAAGCCATGTCCACCCAGTCACATAACCACCAAGCCAAGTCCACCACCTAAGCCACGCCCACAGAACCAGTTTTTAAAATTTTTTGAACCCCACTCCTGCTTCTAACTAGCCACTCTGCCATAAAGTCCAGATCGATGGAGGGCTGCAGTGATGATTGTCCTTCTAGAACTCTGTCCCATCTCCACACAAAATCTTTGGAGCTCAGTCAGAGTGCCCATCACTCTGTTCAGTTCTTGGTCACCTCTCCCCCAATTACTCAATTTGACCAGGCAACCAGCTCTTAGAAGAATCCTGGTTGTGCCAAATTTCTTCCATTTGAGAATTATGGAGGCTACTGTGCTCTTAGGGTTAGGGCTCAGCGCAGCAGGAATTCTATTGTAGCCTTCCCCAGATCTGTGCCTTGCAATAATCCTGTCTCTGAGGTCTGCAGGCAGTTCCTTTGACCTCATGGCTTTTGCTCTACTACAGTATGCATCATGAACTGTGACGAATTCTAGACAGGGGTGTGTGTGCCTTTCCAAAGCATGTTCAATCCATTTCATTTACCACAGGTCAACTCAATTCAAGGTATAGAAACATGTCGGCAATGATCAAGAGAAATGGGAGGTGTTAGGTATAACATTGATACCAAATATGGTTTGGGTGAATAAATATATAAAACTTAGATATCATGGTTTAAGTGCTTATCACTTTAAGCACAATGCTGAAGGCAATTTGCCAATTAAGGGTGCGGTTAGAAGTTACAATATAAGGAAGCATTAGAAGCTGGAAAGCTTACTGCGAATAACTGTGTCTTACTGTGACTAACTGTGATTACTGACTGTGAGTGCCTGTGACTGAACTGTTCCTGTCTGCTACTGTTTGCTGATTTACTGCGTAATTCTACTGTTCTACTGTTTGAACTTCTTGCTGAATATCCAGCGTTTGTTCCTCTGGAGAGAGGCACCGGAGGAGGAGAAGATATCTTTATCGGCTGATAAAGATATTGCAAGGACTCTTAACTTGGACTATACTAGTGAGTCTTACTGGATGGAAATACTGTGAATGACTTAATGGACTGAATGACAATGCTTTAAACTCTAAATGGATTAAAAACTATTTAAACTACAAACAGTGTTTGTGTTCAGTGTGTGTATACTCTGGGGCCCTTCCACTCTCGTTTGGCTGCCTGGCTTGACTACTGCTGCAATACTCTGCTAGGGGTTAATCCCCAAACACTAACAGGAGGCACCAGAACTAAATTTCACATGTTGTTGCAAAGAGTCTGAGTACTTATGCCAACGAGTTATTTCAGTTTTTTCTTTTTAATAAATTTACAGACATTTCTAAAATTCTGTTTTCACTTTGTCATTATGGGGTACTGAATGTAGATTAAAGAGAGAGAAAATGAATTTTAACAACTGCAGAATCAAGCTGCAGCATAACAAAATTGACAAAAGTGAATTTTTGAATATTTTCTGAATATTTGAATAATTACTGAATATTTACTGAATGAACTGTAAATGGAGAAATTGTCACTAGGAACGAAAGAGGAAATTAAAATTTTATAGTTCTTAAATTATACTCAATACATATTTAATGGTATATAATATGATAGAAAGGATTATGGTGAATATCAAATATTGCAGTACTACCATTAAAATAAATACTTTGTGAGGAAAAAGTAAACTGCAAACCTTTTATGTTTGATTCTATTTACTACCACTTGAAGCCTAATGGTATAAGATAAATAGGATGTATTCCAAATTATGGAATACAGAATGGACAGGTTAATCAATATTTCCAAATGCAACAGCAATGATATAATTTGTTGCAGATTTTTAGTATGAATCATCAGTTGACTTTAAGTATTCTGTGCTTTGAACCCAATACAAAATGTGCATTGCAGATAGCTTACCTATTTAAAACATTGACATTTTAGAGTTTTTATCTGAAGACTTGAAGGCAATTTGAAAGAATGATTATCCTATAGAGTAAATGCTTTTATTCTGTTTGAATACTTTGGTAAACCAATTTTGCAAAGTATCTGTCTTTTGCAAAATATCTTTACTGGTTTAATCAATCTGCAAAAGTGCATCTCTTCCAAATACATTCTGTTAATTTTTTTTGCTTGATTTGTCCTGAGTTTTCTTGTATGGAACAAACGTTACCATTTTACATGCTCTTTATTTACACCTGACCATACCGTCTGTTTTGTATATTTTGGTTGAGAAAACATAGAAAAATAAATCAGATATGACAAATACTATTTTTGCAAAAATATATAGAATTGCTTGATTCATTAATAAGTAGGCAGAAGAAAAACCTGTTGATTTATATAATGTCCTAACATTTCCCTAACCAGGATTTCAAAATAAATTAATCCGAACAATACACGTTTATAGCCAAACTTACGAATTAATCACTGCAGAGCAGGGTTTAACAGAATAACAGAATTATTGAGTTGGAAGGGACCTTGGAGGTCTTCTAGTCCAACCCCCTGCTCAAGGAGGAGACCCGATACCTTTTCACACAAATGGTTATCCATTATCTTCTTAATAACCTCTGGTAATAGAGCACCCACAACTTCTGAAAGCAAGTAGTTCCACTGGCTAATCGTTCTCACTGTTAGAAAATTTTTCAGTTCTAGGCTGCCTCTCTCTTCAGTGTTTTCCTATGCACTTTTATGAACATATGTACTTTTGAATTTTAAACAAATACAGAGAAAAAGCAAAAAAAATATAATCTGGTTGATTACTGAGAATGGAGTTTGGCTCATTGTAGTAATGATGCAGAAATCATAAGCTATTTCAATCAAGAACAGAAAAAAATTGCATACGTGGTATGATATTTAAGTATACTGTGCTTAGATTTGAAGCACCATACACAGATTCAAAACATGTTGACTTTAGCATCAAGTAGTGTGAAAATGTAAATGAGTAATCACAGTTTTTTCATCACAGACCAAACTCATTCACTATTAACTTTAACACTACTTTTTTTTAGTATAGTAATAATAGTTTTGACATTCAAATAAATGAAATCATATTTAGGCTTTGTCAAACAAAGAAACGATGCATTGTGAACAATTTTATGAACTCATGCAAATGCGAAGGATCATATTTATGATTATGGTGGTTGACATCAACACAAAAACACAATTGCAATCATTTACTGTCATATTACTACTATTACTCTTCTGATCTTATCATGATAAGTTATTCTGTCTAAGTAGGAGACCTAGAAATAATTAGGAAGAATAAGTTCCATTCAATATTCCACTAAATTCAGTGGGACTTACTTCAACATAGACATGCAGATAATTACATTCCTAGCCTGCTATTAGTTTTATTTTTGACACAGTTCAGCTAGACTTTTATTTAAAGAACCAGACTAAATTACTTTACAGGTTACTATAAACAATACTGAGAAAAATAATTTCACATGAACCTCAAAATCTCTTTTAGATTGTCTTGTCAGAGTAGCCTTTCTGATCTATCATGCCTTCCCCTTTTGCCACTCACAACACTATAAAAAGTAATATAATCTAGGAAACAAAATTTGCTGAATATCACTTATTCTAATATCAGTAAAAAGGGTCTGCAGAGAGAAAGATTAAGAATGAAATAGTCTTGAAATGAAATGATAGATTCAAAAGCAGTCAAGATATCAATTTGAAGTTAAGGTAAGTTTTGAAGTAAATATTTACATCAGTTTCTGCAAACTTTTTTTCTCCCCTCAGACGGTGAAACAAAAGGAAGAGTTGCATGGAGGACAGTGTACAATTTATATAAAACGAAGTACTTGTCCCATGTTTACATCACAAACCCTTTGTCATCCTGAAATGAGAAAGCGTGAAAGAACAGAAGTAAACTGCAAGGAATATAGATGATACAAACCTGTAGCTCTGTTTCCACCAATGGCACACCTGGTTCGCTGGTTAACCAGTCATAGTTTCCCCTGTCAGCGTGTCCAAATTTCTTCCAGCTACTACTGTCCAGAAGCCAACGCATACTTTCATGGATGTGTGGATTTGTTCTTTGTTCTTCCTCTTCCGTTTGTGGTCTTCTTTTGGATTATTTTTAATACTGTCACCTTCCTCTATTTCCCCCACTGATACTAGGCCTAGCTTGGGATGCCTAAACTGAAAACCATGCTGATATTCTCTCCTGTTCCTGGCAGTGAAGAAGGAAAGGGTAGAGCAGTGACCAAACAAATCTTGGATGCTATTTTGTCTTCTAACTCAGTCTCTGGATTTGCTTCAGTGGCCTACATTACTAGGGAAGCTGGCATCAGGTATCAGGAAAGAGATAGCCTTCTGATTGGATGGTTGCCTGCATTAGGATTATTAAAGGGGTATTTCCATGACAATCTGAGTGCACATGGTCCTAACTCGGTGGATAAATCATTGTCTACATTTATAGTTCATATACACATAATTTATATATAAATATATATATATATACATAATGTGTTTGTGGAGGAAGGGAGCTCTAATGTTATAGAAAGATAAAAAAAATGCTTACTTCTCCCTAAGGGTTAAGGAAATATTTCCACTTGGATGCAATGTAAATAGCAAAAGCAGTTGCTGCTAGGCAGGCAAGGGCATAGCTGAAAGCTGTTCTGAATTATTTAGAGGTATTAGAATGTAGATGTTAATGATAAATCCGAAAAGAAGCTGCTGCTAGAAAAGGCTTTAGTCAATGAGAATATACGATTGCTTTCAGTGACACATCTAACGGGCTTAATTCTGCTCTTTAATCTTCCCCGTAGATTTTTTTTTTAACAGATAAGTATCATTATGTTTCAATCATTTAATTTAATCATTCAAAGCAAAAAAAGACTCCAAATGGTTTAGTTATATGGTTGCATCAAGACTGTATTGATAAGAGTAGTAAGATGTCAGTATGATCACTTAGCGGTTCTTATCTTTCTTTTAGTTCCCCCTTAGCTATATTCTGAACTTAACATTGTGTGGGAAACATTTGATAAAATTGTAAAAAGAAGACATAATGCTCTATTCATCATTAGCATGCAGAAAGCAAAGGAAATCATCCAGTCCCATTGGTATCCATACCAGGAATTCAAATGTAAAATTGCTAAGTGTTAAAGATATATGACATCGTAAAAGTAGTCCTCAACTTACGGCCACAATTGAGAACAGAATTTTCCATTGCTAAGCAAGGCATGAGTCATGCTCGATTTTACAACTTTTTTGTTTTTTTTAACCTTTACCTTTTACAATAATAGTTGTTAAGTGAATCATATGGTCAGGAAGTGAGTTCAGCTTCTCCCATTGACTTTGCTTGTTGGAAGCCAGCTGAGAAAATTGATGACCACTTCACTCCAGGATGCTGCAACCACCATAAATACTTGCTGGTTGCCAAGGACTGGAGTTTTGATCACATGACCCTGGTTGTCAGTGTGAGGACCAGTTGTAAATCACTTTTTTCAGTGCCATTGTAAGTTTGAACAGTCACTAAACAAATGGCTGCAGGTCAAGGGCTACCAGTATAGATGATATCTACCATATAACTAAACCTGAACCATGAAGACCAGAAATGGCCAACATAATGCGTTTAAAAAGAGGAAGTAGGAATACACATCTTGGGAGACCTGAGAAATTACAAAAAGAAATTACAAATTATCACCTGTTATCAACAGGTGATATTACAAGTATCACCTGTTCTAGGTAAGTTAAGTAGTGGGAGCAATATAGATAGTCCTCAACTTACAATCACAATTTTCTTTTGTTAAGCAAGCGAATTGTTAAATGAGTTTTTGCCCCATTTTACGACTTTTCTTGCCACAATTGTTAAGTAAATCACTACAGTTGTTAAGTTAATAGCAATAGCACTTAGAGTTATATACTGCTTTACAGTGCTTTACAGCCCTCTCTAAGCAGTTTACAGAGTCAGCCTCTTGCCCCCAACAATCTGGGTCTTCATTTTACCCACCTTGGAAGGATGGAAGGCCGAGTCAACCTTGAGCCTGGTGAGATTTGAACTGCCAAATTGCAGTCAGCTGGCAGTCAGCAGAAGTAGCCTGCAGTACTGCACTCTAACCACTGCACCACCAAAACTAATAACACAGTTGGTTTCCGGTTTGTCGGCTTCGCGAGCGGCAGGGATTTGTGAAGCTGCGCGATCCCTGCCGCGCTAGCCGTTTTTGGGGCTCCGACCCAGACGGGTACGGAGCTAGGCTGCCCTGCAGGGGCAGCTGAAGGTAGGGGGGATCCGGAGAAGGGTTTGGGGGTGTTGCAGACCCCCTCCCCGGCCGGCAGAACCCCCTTTTCCCAGGACGGTGCAGCGGCGGTCCATAATGGCCGCCACAAAGAAGCTGGCAGCCGGGTAAGAATGCGCAGGAGGAAGTGGAGAAAGTGCTTGAGAGGAGAAAGTTTTTCTTGGTTCCTAGGACTCTAAGACATATTTAACAAAATTCCTGAAAAGTATGACTTTCTGAATGATACCTTCGAGAAGAGGAAAAAAGCGGCAGTTTAATGGTGCTGAAAGGATAGCTTACCCTCTTTTTTTACGGAATAAAAAGTGAACATTAAGAAACCTATTTTTTTTAGGTGAAACTGGCTCTAAGCGGTGAGTGGGAAAAGAGAGGACTAAAAAAAAATATATATTTGTATGCTAAGACCTTGTTGGAGGAGATGCCTTAAGGATTGAAAGACTAAAATATATTGCAATAAGATTTTAAGAAACAGATTTGGACTTTCTTTTTCTTTAATTGATACTACCCCAAGAGGAGCGAGTGGGAACTCTGTCTTGGTTTGGACTGACTGAGAACTTTGGGATTGTCTTATTTTTCCTTTGGAATATTCTGGCTGTTGTAAGAGAAAAGAAAAGAAAAGATTTATAATGGCTTCTTCTATCGAGGAACTGAGAAAAGATTATGAGCAAGCAAAACAAAATGGTAAAGCTGGTTTGAAAGAAGCCTTCTTTTTTTTAGAAATGGCGCTTATTAATTATCAACAAACATTGCAACAGATGAAGACAGCAGAAGAAGAACAAAGAGAGGAAGCCATCTTTAATAAATCTCAGAACTCGACCAAGAGGGAAGGAAGAGGAAAAAGAAGAGAAATAAAGGACTTAAGATTTAAAAAAACATTTAAGAAAGGGAAAAACAAGGTGCAAAATCAATATAAGGATGGTAAACAAAAGGGAAGAGGAATACGACAGAGAAGGGAAGCCAGTAAGGCAGAGGCTAGAAGAAGGGGGGCTAGAAAGGTTTGTTGGGGGAAGAAAGAAAGGGAAAAAGTGGAGAAAAGCTACAAAGTTTTGAAATTAAATGAGAAAAAAGAAATTTTTTTTTAGGGATAAAGGATAAGTATAATTTCTTCAAAGAGATTTTGCAAGGTACATAAGATGATATTGTAGTATTGTATCAGAAATAGAAAATTTAAATGGCTTGAGAGTTGATAAGAGATTAAAATGTTGGAATGTTAATAATGATTGGTTTGAAAATATAATATGAGGGGAGATTTAGAATATTAAACTTTAATTAAAGAGTTTATTAAGATTATGGTATTGATGTTATTATAAAACTTTCACTATAGTATTTTGTTTTTAATATTTAAATCTATTGCTTAACTATGTATTTAATTGTTTTAGATGTATTATTCAGTTAGAATGTACCAAGCAAAATCGGATTGGGTAGTTTAAAGATTAATTTGATTAATTTAGTGGGGAGATAGAAAGGCATCATACTCTGATTAGTGATTTCAGGAGAAATTTCTTTCTTTTTAAAAGGAATGAGACAAAGGTATAATAGAGAATGGACAAAAGATATAAATATAATGACTCAAATTAAGATGATTAATTAAGATAGAATCAAGAAGAGTGAAATATGTGGAGAAGTTAATATAGAAGACTTAGAATGGTAAATAAAATAAGTAATGATATGTAAGATGAGCCTGAATATAATTGAAGTCCATGAAAAGAGAGATACCTGGGTCCAAGTTACTTTCCAAAAAGATATTTTTTATGTTTTGTGTGTTGTGTGATTATGTTGTTTTTTTGGGGGGAAAATTAATAAAACCTTGTAGAAATATAGAATGAGAATAATGGTAACTAAGTCAGAAAGAAGTAGATGAAATAATAATAATAAAATTGAATAAGAGTGAAGAGAAATAAAGGGAAATTGGATAAGAGGTTTTTTGTATGTTTATATGGAAATGGTTTAAAACAGAATTATAGTTTATCTGATTTGTTAAATTTATAATGGAAAAAGGTTTAAACATGTAATGGATAATGATGACTTGTGTGTTTTGAAAACCAATAAAACTTGTTTAAAAAAAAAAAAACTAATAACACAGTTGTTAAGTGAATCTGGCTTCCCCATTGACTTTACTTGTTAGAAGATCACAAAAAGTGATCACCTGATCCTTGACACTACAACCATAATAAGTACAAGCCAGTTGCCAAGTGTCCGAACTTTGATCACATGCCTGTGGGGATGCTTCAATGGTTGCAAGTGTGCAAAACGGTCATAAATCACTATTTTCAGTGCTGTTGTAACTTTGAATAGTCAACAGTCACTCAGTGAATGGTTGTAAGTCTAGGACTACCTGTAACTACAAAGTAGCATAAGGCAGGTCCAGGATATGTCAACCCAGTGGGCCTCTGGGACAAGCCCCAACCATGCTGGTGTGGAAAAAGAAATATGGCTGTGTTAGTCAATGTAGATGAAGATTTTATGGGATATGAATATATTTAACACATAGAGCCAAACATTCAATCATGTAGGTAAACTCTACACCTGGTTGATGACGGCTGATGATGATAACAATTTCAGAAATGATCAATAGTCACAAACTGCTAATATCACATGATCCTTTTGTCAGCATAAATAAGTGCTGACTTCCAAGCACTTTATCCAATTGCAGATATGTTTCCTGTAATTTGTCCCAAATGCACTAGTTTGCTTTTTGTTCCCGGGTTGAATACATTTGGTTAATTCCTGCCATTGGTCTAATCTCTTTAGGTCTGTTTCTAATTATTTTACTATGGTTTCACTATGTGTACAAGTCTCCCTCTGGGCCTTTATTATACATGAATTATGTTAGTAAAGCTTTTAGGTGTTTTTAATGGCAATAATTCACAAAACAGAATGTAACCTTATCCTTATATGACCTCAATATGAACCCTGTTTTATACAGCTATGATTTCTGTTTTATCCAGACATGCTATCCTTTCTATTGTGAAATAGAATAGTAAAGGATATTCATATTCATATGAATTTTCCTCACAGCAGAATTTCCTATATGATTTATCAAATACTTTAATCATGTCCAACTTTTTTTAAAAAAACATTTCTTTTATATAGACATATTGGAAT